AGAGAGAGAGAGAGAGAGAGAGAGAGAGAGAGAGAGAGAGCAGAAGATAAAACGTGGACGTTAGATTCGAAGATCGCGTTCGACCACGATTATTATTCGAAAAAGATTGAATACGATGTCGAGGATTCGAGAGTAAAAACGCTTGTGAAATCGTCGATATAATGCCCCGTTATGCTTGGCTCGAGCTTAACAGCGAAGGAAGAGAACACAACGAATCACGAAGATTAATACAAAAATAGGAACAAACGTATAAGCATATAATGAGGAACATATATCATGTACAAACGTAACGCGCAAGGAACTTTATACTAGAATGATTCATAGTGTACGCAATCGTGCCGTGTGGATGCTTCGCCTCTTTTCTTTCTTTCTTTCTTTTTAGTTTTCCTTTCTTTGCCGCCTATTTTCAAAGGTGTATATACGCGTGTCTCGTTGTCGTGAAAGAAAAAGAATATGGTCGCGAGCGCGCGCGGTTAAGTAACGATTGTCTCGCGGGCTTTTCAAACGCTGCTTTTTCCCTGAAACGATTTGCAGCGCAACGAAATAAGCACATGCACACCGTGGAAATGTTACTGACGACTCGTCAAAAAATATTATACTCGGTAAAAAGGTCACACAATGATTGGACGTGGGTACGCGCTGTGCTGTGTGTGTATCGTGGAACAAAAACGGATGAACATATGGTGAAACGACGAACAGCGAGAAGGTGGTACATGCTCGAAGAGCAACGAGAAGCAAAATTTTCTCGAGCGGCTGTTTTCCCGCGCTCCGAGTTCCTTTAACCCGTTACTTCCTCGAGAGACGCGCGTCGTCGAGTAATAACACGTCGATCTCGATCGCTCGAACGTTCGCAATTGGAAAATCGAACACCGGCCATTTTGGACTCGTTAATCGATCGGAGGAGCGCGAAACGCGTTCGTTCCCCGTTCCTTCTTTCGCGTGTCCTCGATGTGAGAATAGCAACAACGATAAAAGGATAAAACGTTCGAAAGATTGTACACACAGGGGCAAACAGGGCCTGTGCGTTGGCGTTCGATCGGGCTCCGCGCTTAAAAATCTTTTTGAGTCTAAGAGATAATCCGGTCTTTTACACACCCACATCCTCTCATCCTCCAATTCGATATATCACACCACGCTCTCTCCTATCTCGCATACGCTTGCACAATACGTACTTACGATATACCTCTTACAATATTTTATATTCATTTATTCTATTAATTATATCAATACTGTTGACGGATAGAGATTCATTCACAGCTCGCACCAGAGCGAACGATCGTCTCTGCCGTGCGCGGCGTACCGTTTTCGTTCAACTTTATCTTTTCCTTTTTATTCCCTTTTTCAATTATCTTCTTCCGCTTCTTCGCTTCTTCCATTTCTTCTTCTTCTTCTTCCTACTTCTTCTTCCTACTTCTTCTTCTTCTTCTTCTTTTTCTTCTTCTTCTTCTTCTTCTACTACTTCTTCGTCTACTTCTTCTTCTCCCTTTTCTTCTTCTATTCGTTTCACCGACAGTCAATCATCCTCCTATTTTTTTTCTTTTTATATACTTTGTTTCTTTTGACATAATGTTTTATCACACGCTAAACGATCGGCCTCCGTAAGTCTGTTCCCAGAGGCCGTCACGATTCTCGCTACGGTGTCTCGGACCGTTCTGAGAGCGAAACGCGACGCGGACGCGTTTCGACTACCGTGATGATGGTCGGGCTGCCTTCTTCGCAGCTCGACGAGTTAAGAGACACCGCACGCCTCCCCGTTTCTCCATTCGAGGATCGTCCAACGAAACGTGTTTACGTATATGTATACATGTGTATCTATGAACGTGTATGCGTGTGTGTGTGTGTGCGCGCGTGTGTGTCACGTATATGCGTGTATGAGCGTGTGCGAGCATACGCGTGTACCCGGTGTGTGTATCAGGTGTGCGAAGGAAGAAACCCCGAACGGAAATGCGCGTCCATCCTCAGCCTCGCATAACAGCGTATAATATCTCGACGGTCGGTCACAGCACGAGGAAAGATCATCGTCGTGAGAAGCTCGTTAAACGGTTCGAAGCAAACGCGAGCGCACCACTTCTCTCGATCGTAGCAAGTTCTTCGCGTCTCGCGATCGTCCGGTCGTCCGGTCGCTTCAAAAGCCACGATGAGGCCGTCTTATCCTCTAACGACGACGATGATGATGATGGGCAACGACGTAGACGATGACGATGACGATGACGATGACGATGACGATGACGACGGCAACGTCGATGTCGATGTCGATGTCGATGTCGATGTCGATGTCGATGTCGATGTCGATGTCGATGTCGCTCACTTGTGACCATGCTGTGCGAGAAAGTTGGAAATAGATTCGATCTGTTGGATATAGATGAGCTGCTGCATCAGGCTTTGCAGCGCGCCTTGGCCCTGAGATTGAGCTTGCTGCGGCTGCTGTAGCGACTGCGTCAAACCTCCACCAGTAGGCTGAGCAACCGGCGGCAGCATCGTGCCCGAACCCGACTGCTCGGCCAACAATTGTCGCTGAAGCTGTTGCGCTTGGTAATGGGCCACCGCGACCAGCTCCGAGGATTCCATCCCCATGGAGGCTGCGGCGGCGGCCGCTGCCGCGGCATGGCCTAGTTGCACCTGCTGCTCCGTATGATGCCCGGACAGGCCAGCCTGATGACAGGCCAGCGGATGTACGCCAACGTGCGACAGCCTGCTGGCCGAACAGCCAGACGAGGCCAAGTAGGCGCCGGGGAGGTTAGGGTTCTCGCCCCGCTAGGGAGCCATGTTCTTGGGCCTGCGCCCCCGTCGCCCCCTGGTGGGGGGGCGCGGGGACTCCTGGCCTCACTGGCTCACCGCGGGGCTCTTCTTGTCTTGTTGCTGTTGACTGGCATCCTGCGATCCCTGTACACCTGCTGCCGCGCCTCCCTGTCCACCTTGCACTCCCTGCAACCCCCATCGCACGTCACGCATCGACTTCAGAATCTTCGGCTTTCGAGTGGTTCTCGAACGTGGTTGGAAATGGTGACAATTACCTGACTACCGGGTCCACCCTGTGGCGGACCAGGACCGCGGTCCGGTGGCCAAGAGTTACCCGGGGTCGGTTCCGAGTGGAATTGGTGAGGATGCGGAGGTGGTCCACCCGGCGTGTCGTGACTGTGGGGGTCCAAACTGTTCGTGGCGTCGTACTGCGTGTTCTCCAACCTCGTGATTACCCGTTCGTCCTCCTCGCCAAAGTCCCCTCCCATCAGCGACGGTTCGCCCACAACCATCACGTCCTGGATCGACAGGAAAGTAGAGAGAGAAACGTTAAAACGATCGTCGCTCTCGCGTGGCCGTTACACACGTACTAGTAGCAGTAGTAGTAGTAGTAGTAGTAGTAGCAGTAGTAATAGTAGTCGTAGTAGCAGTAGCAGTGGCAGTAGCAGTAGCAGTAGCAGAGACAGTCACAGTAGTAGTAGTAGTAGTAGTAGTAGTAATAGTAGTCGTAGTAGCAGTAGCAGTGGCAGTAGCAGTAGCAGTAGCAGAGACAGTCTCTTACCGGTGAACGCAAACGCGAACAGCGTCATTCCGTCTTTCATTTATCTTTACGCTTGGTTCGAGAAAGAGAGGGAAATATCCTCGGATATGGAACTCTCGGAAGCCACGAGGGCAAACTTACAAAGCCGATTAACCCCGCGAGGGTAATGAAACATCGGTTTCGAGCGGAACGCACAGCCTTCGATAAAGGACGCTTCGGCTGCAGCCCGTTTCGGATAAAACAAACGCTTCTCGTGGCACGCTCACCTGTGACGCCAGAGAAAAATTAGGTCCCGGCGATCTCTTTTTGCTAGGCGCTGGCGGTGCGTTGTTCCCCGGACCAGGCGTGCTACCCTTTCGCTTTCTTCGCTTGCTGGCGGGCCTCTGGGACTCTGAAAGAACAGATGCGCGATAAACGGGAGCTCGAGCTGTGGCAGAGGACGCTAGCCATGTAGCAGCGCGCTAAGAAACTTCAGACCGCTACCCAGCTTTGGACCTTTCTCCAAATCAAAGGTCTCTGACACACAGAAGCATGCATGCATCGGTGGACAGACAGATAGAAGATCGATAGATCACGTCTCTATTGCCTTTCTCCATCAAAAAAAAGCTACTTAGGAAGTTCTGCACTCACGTAGAATTGTATCTTTACAGAGAAACACGCATCGCATCGAAGTAAATCCGATGTGCTCTTACGGCTTTAACGCGCTCGGTTCCATGATTTCGTCGACCTTGAACGTGGGGGCGCCGGATAATTGAGAGGGAACGACGTTGGTCGCGGGTGAAACAGGAAACGCGGTGCAGCGCATACGCATGATAAAAACGGACGATAAGCCGACAAGGAGAAGTGCGCCGACCGCTCCAGACGCACGCAACGCGCAACGTCGATCAGGAAAAAATCAACCACCGCTGCTATCAACCGACAACCATCGCGCCAATCCGATCGAAGATCGCCTCGCTTCGCGAAACCTTCTAGCACCCGGAACGATTTTTTCCTTCTTCCTTCTCTCTTTCCTTTAAACGCTCCCCCCGTTTTCCACTCTCTTCCCCACGACCGCGAGAATTCGAGCCGTTTAACGATCGACCAAGAATCTCCCGAGCGTTATTTTCGTAACTATGCAATCGTATGCAACCGCAACGACGACAACGACGACGACGAAGTCGACGATTACCAAAGGTTCGACGCGAAAGATCGGGTGGTCACGGAGGAACTCGCGAATTCGCTTTCGACCCGAATAATCCGAACGGTCCAACGACCCGATTTCCCGATGGATCCCGGGGCCGGAAGAGACAAAGAGCGAATATATAACAGGATAGGCCGGTGAGAAAGAATAGGAGTTCTGGTCGTAGAAAGCGATTGGAACCGAGATTCGTGACGCGGCAACAAGTCGACGACGAATATTCCGTCGTCGTTGAGCGATCGAAAAACGAATCCTGCGGTAGACTGGTCGGCCGTTTGGCTCCACTGGCTGGTGCTTCTCATGTAAAGCAACTGTTCGTCTACCTCTCTTACCCGGCGGGGCAACCATCCTCTGCCATTTCTGGAACAAGGTCGTCTTCAAGCAGTCCCGCGGTGACAACGCGTACGCCTTGTGCCTCGACATCAGCTCTTGCATCGGCTCCAAGATCACGCATAACTGGAAAAGCAAAAAAAGAAATTCGAAAATCTCTCTTTCTCTCTCCTCCTCTCTCTCTCTCTCTCTCTCTCTCTCTCTCTCTCTCTTATCGTTACACGCGACACGACGACGACGCTCGACCTCGATACCTCGCGATCTCGGCGCTGCGACCAGCGTCGTCGTTAGAGCTACTACGTGCGATCGTACACGCGCGTTCTCCGAACAAATGTCGGTAAAAAGCGAGTGCGTGCATTTTGTATCTTTATCCCCGAAACAACGGGCGGGGATGAGTTTCTTTGGAAAACGCGGGCAAAAATAGCCGGCGATACAGAAACAAAATAAATGCGACTGTTATTTAATCCGACGCGAGTTCGACAGGGAACTTATGCGCGCTATTAATATGAAAATTATCGTATACGGCGTGTACCGGTTGAAAATAAACTTCCTAAAATATATTCGCACGATGCGCGCAACGCACGCGCTCGCATCGCCGTACACCGTCCGGAGCAAATTAAATTTGGTTTATGTTTGCCGTAATAAAACTGAAATCCATTTTACATTATTATCGTAAGCACGTAATTTCCCGGCAGCCTTTATATTATAATGATGACAATTAAAGTAATCGATAGCGCGGAATTGCATAGAGGCGGCGGCGGCGACGGCAGCAGCGGCAGGCTTGACCCGAGGGCTCCGAAATTTTGCGAAACTTTAATTTCATTTTAATTAATATTCGCATTAATACGCTCGTGGCCATCGGCGAGATTTCCGATCGATTCCCGCGCTCCGCCGGACCGTCCATCGCGTTTTTCTCTCGTTATTTCCTTTTTTCCCCTCCTTTTTTCGTCATTATTATTATTATTATTATTATTATTATTATTATTATTATTATTATTATTATTATTATTATTATTATTTTGCCTGCATTTTACTTCGTTACGTACACTTTGCCCGTTTGCTCGGATCGCGAGCGGGAGCGTGGATCGTCGTGCACGACGATACGAAATTAATCGGGAATCGTTTGGAAAGAGATAGATCGCGGTTGTCGGGTGGCGAGGTAAAGATATTTTCTCGTCGGCTTTCGATTAACGACGCAACAATCGTTTCAGCGTGCAGAGAGCAACGATACGCGCAAGTGAAAGCGCTTCCGAGCGTGCAAAGAAGGTGGATCGTAACCCGGATACTCGAGCGTACTTTCGCGAGCCGATCTCCGCGCGCGATTCCCGGGCCCTTTACGCTCGGGCTTTCCAACCGTGTTATTTCTACATATCTATTCCGTTTAGAAGAATATAATAAAACGCCGCGCGAATCGACGAATCACCGAGCTGAACGGCGACCACCGACCGGATGAGAAAGCATTTTCGACGAAACGTCGCGCGCTACTCGTAAAACCGGCACCGCACACCGTCCCGCGGCCTTCCATTGCCAAGGGTCAACGTATACGTACCCTAAGGTAGTTCAGGGTGGAATTGGTGATGCCCTGCCTGGTGATGTTCTTGCTAAGCTGTTCGAGCATCGTCGGATCCTGTTGCATACCGACCACGGTCCTAGGCACGAGTTCCTTGTGCGTCCTCACCGACATGTGCCACGACTTTATCCTCATAAGGTCGTCAAACGTGAATTCCAATATTAATCTACCCTCCGTGCATACCTGCGGAACAAACACGCCGTTCAAACTATCGCGTAAACGTGCAACGACGGCCTGTCGGCCAATCGCGGGTGAGAAATTTCGTTTCGCGTGCTGCTCGCGGGAAAATGGCGCGCTTCGAATAAAATTTCAGGCGACGCGATTGAACGCGGAGGGTGGGGGGTAGTTGCAAGGGTGTTGTTTCGCGCGGAATAAAAATTTGAGAACGTAACGACGGGCAACGGGCGATGAAGGAAGCGAGAAAGATGACAGAGAAACGAGCCCCGCGCGCGCTGTTCGCTGTCATTCGTAACGCGGCTCGTTTCGTTTGCATTGTTTAACCGTGAATCGATCGCGCGACAACGGCAACAGATTCGATCACGCGAACGAAAAGTTTCCCCTTACCTTCGTGAACATCGGTTTTCCGTGATGCGTGACCATAACGCAGTTATCACAGTCGAGGGTTATGCTGGTAGTGTGAAATGACTCCTTCGGGTGCTTCAAATTGTAGTAAAGTTCCGTCACTCCGCCCTCGAATATCGAACGGAAGTACCTAGGTATTAGCGTCCTGCCTATCGCTGCAAGCAGAAACAAACGGATCGTGAGGACTCGAATCGAATCGGATCGGATCCGATCGAACGTCGACGATGGACGATGACGCTTTCTTCGTCAGAGATCGAGAGAACCCGAGCCTACCCGTACCTACGCGTAATTCCTCGCCGCGTTCCTGTTTTCACGGGAAACGAGCGAAAGAAAAATCATAGATCCAGCGACATAGAGACGTAGACGGAGAGAAAGAGACAAAGAGAGAAAGAGAGAATGAGAGAAAGAGGGGAACGCTGCCGCGAGTTCTCCGTTGCATCTTATTGCAACGGTAATGCGCGTCGCGGAACTGTCGTTTACGCTCGATGACGACGCGATGCGACGTGTAATCACGTTGTTACCGTGCATTCAGCAACGAACGCAGGGAGGAAGACATTAAAATCCACCGGCTGCAAAATTGCTCTGCGGTGGCACGTAATTATTTAGAACGTGTGCAACGCGTATACGTGGTGCGTGGCGTGGTAGTACGGGCCACTGCCGAGGACAATGGACCGTGAAGAAGAACCCGTCGTGCCGAAAGAAAAACGGCCAGCCGAAGGCGGTATCTTCTCGTTCACCGTCGCCGAGATTCGCGTATTCCACCTTTCCCGAATAACGCTTTCGAACGGATCGCGAGGAAAAATCGGGCAAAGATGCGACTGATACTCACTGTATCTCTTGGGGCCGTCCTCCAAGCAGAACGTGAGGGTTAAGGTTGCGTCGTCCTCGAAGAATTCAGTCGCGAATGCGTCCCACCAGAGATTGTCGCTCTCCTGTAACAAGAAGGATGGAAGAACATGTAATATCGCGTACTTCCGGGCAAATCGCGCGCAATCACCGACTCTCGAACGGAGCCGAGCGCTTCGCCGCGCGTTCGATAACATCGTCGTTGCCATCGGCAAACGGAATCGCGAGCGAACTTGTTCCTCCACTCGCGATACGCTTCTTCTCCAGCTGCTACTCGTACACGTTACCAGGCTCGTTGCCGATTTTTCGTCACGGCGAGGATCGCCTAACGAAAGGTTGCAAATCAGCGTGTTTACGTATCTCCTAGCCATTGCAGCCGGCAGTTCTCCGCCGACCAATTACGCCTAATCTGTAATTGCACGCCGGCGATGACTGACAACGATTTCGTGCAGTCGCTCTCGCGAAAAGCCTCGCGAAAAGCCTCGCGAAAAGGCTCGCGAGAAGCGACACGCGCTTAACTTTCCGTACCGGTGCTATACAACGCGACCGTGTCGTTTCAACATATTCGTGTTACTCTACATATATATTGGCGTTTCGTCGCGGCATGAATATTTATAGCGGCGATACGGAACGTTTGAAATTTTTACGTCGTAACCGTAGCTCGTCACCTCGTGAAAAACCGATCGACTATGGAACGCACACGGCGCGAACCAAACCCCGGCAACCCGGCTCTCTCTCTCTCTCGCCTCTGAATTATTACGACCGCGCTAATAAACACGCGTAAATACGTCACAACGCGAATACCCGGTTAAGAAAAGCGGGTTTACGGGCACGCGCCGCTATCCGCGCAAGATTTTCCACGACACGTGTAAAGCCCCGTGGCCGATCGCGTAATTTCGCGGGGAAATATCGGCCGCGAGTCGACGGCGCGCTCCTTTTCATTCATGGAAGCTACTCCGAATATAAAAGGGAGGTCAACGATCACACGCTCCTTCCCCCGCGACACGGCCGCGTTTTTCGGAAACAACGACGCGTGCGATCTCGCACAGAGTTCTCGCTGGATTCGGAGCCGCGAGGAGGAAAGAAACGGAGAACGGCGCGGAGGAAGAAATAAAAATAGACAGACGGAGTATCGAGACGGACGATCGAGTTTCCGGACGCGGGTCGCGACCACCGCGACGACGCCGGCTCTCGAGAGCTCCGGAGGACAAGAAAAGGCGGAGGAGGAGCGAGGTCACGCGCGGAAAAATAATAATAAGAGCGGAGGGAGGATGCGGTGTGGGTGAAGCTGGATGCATAATTGAATGAAAGCGCAGCGAACAAGCACGCGCGTCCAGAGGCCAAGGGGTAGTTCCTGCGAGTGAGAGGGAACGAAATGCTATAATTTCAAGCCAGACAGTCATGCGTTATTCAGCGACGAGTATAGGCCGCCTCTGTCTTCGCGTCGTCCTTTCCTCCACCCTCTCCGCTCCGCTCGCTTCGCCTCCTTTTCATTCTGATCCCGGAGATCGCGCGCGTCTTTGGACCAAGTATGCGCGCGCGACCGTGCCCCCCGAAAGACGCGGCCAGAAATTATCCCGATTTTCCAACGTTCCGGGAAGGCCACGGGCGCGACTGGCCCCGTGGCTGCACACGCGTCCAGCAACCGTGTACCATCGATCGCTTCGATCACTCCTCGCTCGATAGTTTCTTGTTATAGCACGGATTACCGGCAACTTTGCGAAGCACGGCTATTGCAACGAGCCACGAGTATACGGTACACGCTGGCTCGCGAGCGTGTGGAGCAACGATGCTGGACTTTCCACGAGATTATTAAACGCCCGACACTGGCCGATCGAATCGTCGAACCCGGTGTAAAAGCAAAGACGCTAACAGGGCGTAGGTGGAACAGATTGGCCGCGTAACTCGCGCGCGGACAATCGGTTTTCAGGGAGGTCCATGTGCGGCCTGCGAAGATTTATTTCGGACGTAAGCCGCGCCGTGCCAAATCAAGCAAACTGTTGCCACTCTCGCGCGAATTGATATTTCTGGCAAGCGCGAACCTCCATAGCGAGTTAAATTCGCGGTGGAATGCCTAGTCGATCGAAATAGACTCGGGGAGGATCGACACCGATCGAAACCGGGTGGAAGGAACTCGCCGCGAGCGGAAGACGAATGCCAAACGTTGAGTAATATCTCCGACACGCTCGCGAGAACTTCGATTCCCGAGGAAAACGCTCGGCGTGACGAACAGGTGTATCTATAATTTCTGCAACGAGTCGTAATAACTCGCTGTGTCATTGCACCTACGCATCGATGACTAATTATTTAGATTATTCGCGTTAAACGTCATGTCGATTTCGCGCGCCGTTCCGTTTGATGCCATAGTTAGCCGTCATGCGGGCCCTTCCGGCGGGGCCTGAACGGAGAGTCTAGCTCCGGTCCTTGGGGACTGGCGTGGCGTTTAACGCGTTAAACTTGCCGAAATTCCTGCACCAACGGCTAGAAATTCGCTTATCTCTCGCGAGTAGACCTTCTCCGACTGTCAATACATCAGGCATAATCGCGGATTTTATTTTTACCGGGTCGTGTCTCGTTGATACGCGTCCTACGACCCCGCATCGTTTTCGGCCATTTTCCAAACTATCACGCCACGGGCGAAGAACGGGGGGGCAAAAAGAAAGGAAGAAAGAAAAGCTGCGGGACTTTGCGGCGTAACTTTTGAAACTTTTAATCAAAGTGGCGCAGAGCACACTCTACATAGAAGTTAGATCGATACGTAACGCGAACTCGTGGCCGCGCAAATCACCAAAAACAACAGCCCGCGAAGAACAACGCAAGTAAAACATCCGCCGCGAGTTTCGAATTCTCGAATCTTTTCGCGGAAACGAACGACCGAGGAATCCGCGAGAAGCTTGACCGATCTCTGCCCGTCGAAACTTCCACGCGGGAAGACACGGGG